CTAGTTTATGAAAAGTCTGTTAAGAGTTCTGTCGGTATTGCACTGGATCTATAGGTCAGTTTGAGGAGAACAGACACCTGTATCTTCTATTGCATGAAGATGATTGTAGCGTGAATTCTAACTGTTCCTAATAATAAAAATCTGGAGTCAGATATTATGTGGTGAAAGCTATAAGATCATAAGAAAGGAGCAGCCAGCCACTCGTTCTTTCCTCAACAAAATCCTCAGACGGAATGGGGTAGCCTGTCTCTACAAGACCTAAGACTGAATGCCTGGAGCTCCTTTCTCCTCCCACCTTATATTCCTCTCTTCACTCATCCATGTCCCTTTCTGTCTCCATCTCCGTAGTGTTGGGATTAAAGGTGTGTGACACCCAAGCACTTGGATGAAAGGTGTGAGTCACCACTGCCTGACTCTGTTTCTCTTTTAGACTGGATCAATCTAGTGTAGCCCAGGGTGGCTTTGAACTCACAGAGTTCTGTCTCCTGAGTGTTGGGAAAGGTGAGTGCCACCACTGCCTGGCCTCCATGGCTAACTAGTGGCTATCTGCCCATGCTGATCCTCAGGCAAGCTTTATTTGTCAAGGAACAAACACAATATCACCACAGTCTATGAATCTATACATCTTTCCTCTCTCTCAGCAATGATTTGTCCCATTCAGTGTCTAGGCACTACAGAGAAGCGGGCAGATTTTTCCTAATTATTTCCTATTTCCTGATGCTATCTCCAGTGACAGGGATTTTAAATGACATCATCCACACATTTCACTGTGGTCCACTGTCTATTGGTAGATTTTAACAGACGCTCTCTTTTACGTTGAAATGTCAGGTTACTTTCTCTATGACGAAAATGTCCTTAATGCTAACATTTATTTTCCTGTGTTTCAGTTCCAGTATTTTGAAGTTTCAGAGAATTTAGTGAATGATGACCAAAGAAACAAATGTTCAACACCCATTGGGGGAAAATTTCTAAGACAGTCATATGCCAAATGTTTGCCCCAAATAAAATCTGTGGAATCACAGAAATAGTCCTTTACTTCCCAGCCAGCTGCATCAATGAGGTGCTGAGATCACGGGTGGAGAGAGAGAGATGATACACGTGAAGATTTAGGTATGTATGTGTAACTCCAGAAAGGCTTGTATTGTAAAGAAAACTTAGCTAAACATTTTCATAATGCCTAATATAATTTTCCCAACACAAAAAGGGTCAGGTGAGTACTTGTGTGTTTCCCCTCTTGTTTTCCCATCAGTCACACAGATTTTAGCAGTGTCTGCTGTGGACTGTGTACAGAGGGGTGTTTATGTATGGTTCTTTCCATATGGTTATTACCACGACACCTGCTAAGCGCTGCTCTGATACCTACTTCCCTGTGCAGTTTCTAGTCTACAAGCATTGCTTGTCTTTGAGTAAAGTTTCACTTTTCTCTTTTGCTTATTAACGCATTTACTCATGTGTTTGTGTCTACTCAGAAACACCCAGTTTTAAAGGAGTACTCCCTTGTCGTCATTATATATTGTGATGCTTAAATTATCCCATAACGTACTCGTGCGAGGACACACAGTCAAGTGGACCTGCTCTTCATTTGTATCTGCCTAGAATTCTGGGTTATCTGACCACCCCTGGAAGAAAGTCACCAGCACATGCTAGATATCAGTGGCACTTTGTCTCCTCTTTCTGTCAATGTCAGGTCTCATCTATGAGAAGAACAACCGGACTGAAGAGAGAACACGCAGAAGGTTGACAAGAAGCTGACATGAGCCCATGTTTTCACCATGTGAGTCATCAGTGCCACTGGGGTCTGTGTTTGTGAATGTGTGTGTGTGTCCGTGAGTGTGTGTGTGTGTGTGTGTGTGTGTGTGTGTGTGTGTGTGTGTGTGTATGTGAAAGCTCCCTGAGATGAACAAAGAAGAAGAAGAGGTCACTGCACAGCTCTGACTTGACTGGATGCAGACAGGCTACTCCATCCCTATATTCAGTACAGTAAACTGCATGAACATTCTCATCTGCCTTCCTCTCCTCTCCATGAGCTTTCTCTCCCCTTACTCTGCCTTCTAGTAGAACAGGGGAGAAGACTGCGAACTCTCCATCCAGAACCAGCTCCCGGAGAAGAACCAAGTGTGGTGTGGTCTTGTCAGCATGTTACCTGAGCAGGAGTGTCGAGATCACGTGGGACTCACCAGGTGAGTCATCTCCTTTTCTCTTCCCATCCGTGTGAGCAGCAGCAGATCTGTGATGTCTTGTAGGAACACATCCCGTCGCTACAGGTAGCAGCAAAGAACAGCAGACCGTGGAACAATGGCATTCATAGACTCCCCAGATGACTGAACCCTGCATGGGTGCCGTTAAATTACCAGGACTCAAATGGAAGCCATCCACATCAGACCATTTCCCGAATGGGTCATGCATTACTGCATCACATTGGCAGGAAGTGCTTATTAAAATGGTAGATGGCTGGGTTCACAAATGACACTGAATCAAACCGGGGATCGTGGGGTGGGGCACATTCACTTCTTTCTGATGGCTGTCCATGTCAAAAAGTATTGCTAGTGGGTTTAAGATTCTGTCTTCCAGGATATGGAGTCACAGCCTGCTTAATTCCATACCATGTGCTCTTGCTACTCCTATAAATACCAGTGTGGTACATGGCATGTCACAAATGCACCAATTCCTTCATAAATATTAATCCCGATAGTCACATAGTGGCCTCCTTTGTGAGCACCGGGCTCCTTCACTGAGTAGACTAGCAGGGGTCCTGGCATATCGTGTTAGATGGGTAAACTGTCAGTAAGCAGAGGAAATCAGTAATCAGGGAATTTCATGTAGTATTTGTGCTTTATAGATCATAAAGAGGACAGGAAATAGTTGTGATGGGGATTGTGGTATGTGATGTTACCCCCAAAGGTCAGTTTCAGAAGTTAGCACTTGATCTGAGTCCTGAACGACAAAAAGAAACAAGGCCGTGCACAAGCCGTGTTGTGGGCGTGCTTGCCCCCATGGAGAACAGTGGATCTAAGAGTAGAGGACAAGGCCGGTGGCCAGAGCCTTGAAGACAATGTGGACACTGCTCGGGGATAGGATAGAAAGGAAGATGTGTGTCGTTTTCAGCTGTGTATGACGTTTGGATTATTGTAAGTGTGGAAGGTGAGTTATGGAATGCCATGATTTGATTTTTTTTTTTTTTTTGGTGGAAGGTTTCTTGGCACTGCACAGAGAAAGGCCTGAGGAGCTGAGATGAGGGAGTGTGTGGAGACAGTGGAGAGGTTTCAGAAGACAGGGGAGGGATGGAAGTGGTAGGAAAGAGGAATGAAGGCACGCTGCAGTGATCAGCGGGAGAGCCGCCCCTGCGCAGCCGTGTCTGGGAGAGGGCAGACAGTAGCTGTATGCACTGTGCATTTCCCTTGTGGAGACGTCGCTCTACCATCTCTGCTTTTGTCTGACCACATGGAGACACAGTGCTTCCGCTTACTGACATCAGCTGTTCCGTGTGGTTTTGACCCAGGATAGTTTGAATACACAAACTAGTTATCGTAAATCTTCGTAATTTAATAACGTGTCAACTGATGAATAATATTCAGATATAAACTTTTCTAAGTACAACTGTAGCAGAATTTCCAAAAGAATAAGAATCTAACATTTGTCTAATAAAAAGGAACCCAACGTTTAATGTAGTTTTGATATTTGTTTTATAGCATGTGCTGCTCTTGGCAGTTTACAGATGAAGCAAGTGAGTAGGTTTTAGGCAGAGTCAAGTGAAATCAGTCTCTAGGTGCCGCAGCTACTGCGTGTCCATATTCTTTCTCCAGAAGAAGGCTGCCTCTAGAAATGCATATTTTTGACAGGTGCTGGTGGTGCACACATTTAATCCCAGCACTCAGGAGACAGAGGCAGTTGGATGTCTGAATTCAAGGCCAGCCTGTAATTCCAATTGCATACGTCAACATTAGTCTGCCACATACGCAGGGACTTCTGACTGGTATTTAAAGCAGATATTATCACTAAAGGCCCCCCAAATCCATAGGTGAGCAGTGTGACGCTCTCATTTCACAGAGTGGGAAGCAGGGCTCAGAGCAGACGGTCTCCCTCTGTTTTCTCCTCACAGAAATGCCCAGCCTGTGTTTGGTAATGGGTCCAGGACATCCTGGCTCAGGGATCCAAAGTTGCTGACACTAAAGAGGTCCCACATCTCTCTGACTCTAGAACAGTGGTTCTCAATCTGTGCCTCATGACCCCTTCAGCAAACATCTATCCCCAAAATTATTTCCATTGCTATTCGTAACTATAACAACATTACAGTGATGAAGTAACAACAGAAATAATTTTCTGGTTGGGATCATCACAACATGAGGAACTGTATTAAGAGTCACGTCACAGCATTAGGAAGGCTGAGAACCACTACTCCACAGACATCCAAACACAGAATCCGGCTTCTCAGATATGTCAGGGACCCCTTCATCATTGTCCCCACACTCCTAGGGAGCTGCAGCCCCACATCAGGACACCCACAGTCACATCTCTGTGCAGTGGGAACCCTGTTCTTTCCGCATCATTTCTATCTCCTCACACTATGCTATATTTCCAAATTTGCTTTTTTAATATCTTTATCACTCAGCTTAAGGATGTGTCTGATCCTTTGACCAACGTTTTTCCTGTTTTGTGATTCTTCTGCAGGGTCTGGGTCATTGGCTCTGCCCACACTACCAAAAGACAGCACAACAGCAGCATCCAGTTCCTTGTTGCTGACTTTTGAGGAAGATGGGGATCTAAGGTAGGTTTGCTGGCAGGAGACTTGCTCTCAGGAACATGATGTCCTGCCAGAGGCTGGACTCGAGGATGCTGCAGCACTTAGATCTGCCCAGCAGCTGATGACCCCTGTCCCAAGTGCTTCACAAATGTGATGGCAGCACATTTCAGAATTTTAAAAAGTGGTCCCTAGACACTGCTATTGCTTCCCTGGCTGTGCAGGACATTCCCAGCTATATTCGTGATTTCTTTGGTAGCTGATAAGTGAGAATGCTACTACCATGAAAAGAAGTCATTGGTGAATTTAAAAAGCCGCAGTATGGGAGCTGGGGACGTAGGTCACGTGGTAGAATGATTGCCTAGAATGCAAATTGCACTGGGTTCTTTGACAGTCTGGGCATGTTCGCCCTCACCGGTAATACCAGCACTCAAGGCGTAGAGGGAGGAGGCAAGAGACGTGAGAGGCATTACTGTTTACGTGAGTATGGCTCCCAGCACCCATGTCAGAAAACTCACAAGTGCCTTTAATTCCAGGTCCATCAGGAGTAAATGCTTCTGCCAATCATGTGCATTCTCACAGACAGACAAACAGACAGACACACAGACAGACAGACAGACATGCATAATTAAAAGTAAAAGTAAAACCTAAACAACAAAAAAGAAGAATCAGCTCCAGTCTTTCTGGAGAGATGGTTCAGTGGTTAAGAGTGCATTCTATTCTTACTGAGGACGCAAGGTCTGTTTTCAGCATCCATTTCCAACATCCATGATGGACTGTAACTCAGCTCCAGGAAGCAATGACCCCTCCTGACCTTTGTAGGCATCTGCATTCATGTGTGCATACACACAGGAATAGACACAACATAATTTTTATTGTTACATGAATTTTTTCCTTAAAAATTATTTACAAACTAAAGTAATTGTTGTGAAGCATTAGAGTAAGCTGCTCAAATGCCAGCAGTAATGAAAACAGTTTTCATCGGCGTTATGTGTCACATGCTTGCACTTCCAGCTATTTGAACACTGGGGTTACAGGATCATGAGTGCTAAGAAGTCTCACAATAGCCTGAATAACATAGAGAGACCCTGCCTCAAGATGAATCAAACAAAACCCAGAAATATTTGAGAAAATGCTAAATTTCTTAGAATAGCAATCAGAGAGTACATGGTTTTTCAAGAGATGTGGGTCAGTATAAAATAAATTTTTGCCAGAAAACCAATCATAAAATTACTTAGTTCTTGGGAATTCAACAATACACATGTAGAAAATGAAATGGAAATGTTACTGGGCCAAGAAGAAAACACAGTAGAATGAAGAATGTGTTTACATTAAGATAAATCCTTGAGCTGGGGCGGTGTGGTAGCTTGGAAGGTCGGCGCTCTGCAGGCTGAGGAAGGAAGGTGAAGAGGCCCAGGCTGGGCTGAGCTGCACCGGGAGACTCTGTACTAAACCCACAAAGCAGAGAGCAGGACTACTAACGTTCCATTCACTTGTGGGAAAGTCTCAGCTTAGTTCTGGCATGGGAAGCATCCTCTTTCCATCGGATGTGAGGCACAGCCCTGTGCGCCCCTGGCACAGACACATTAAAGATTACCATCCCCTAAATGGGAAGTGACTTCTTCACCACCACATACAGCAAGCACACAGAAAAAGGTGGCTGTGACTGTACTCAGATAGCTCATTCTCAGGAGATTTCCCAGCAGAGAGCCCTGTGCCTTAGGGGTAGGAATCAGCCCAGCGACAGACACAGAATTCCTTGTGGTGCTACATGTGCTTTCTTGTGGTGTTTGAAATTTTGTATCCAGGAAGGAAAGTACTTTAAAGTGTAAACTGAGGAGATACTTGTGCTTGGCTGGTAAAAGAGGGGCTGGGCAGACAGCTAAATCAGTAAAGTGCTGGCCTTGTGGGCATGATCCATCCCCAGACTGCATGATTAAGAAACCTAAGCTAAACTACAGCAGGAAAAGTAACAGGTGTGGTGGGACATTCTTTTTGTGAAGGTGGAGGCGAGCCCATCCCTGGAGTGCACTGGCCAGCCAACCCAGCCTGCCTTGGATGGTCAGTCCAGTGAGAAAACTTGTCTAAGGAAAACTTCAAGAGGGAGGCCGCTTGAGGTACAGCGTTAGAGGATATCTTCTGTCCCCTGACCACATGCATGTATACACACACACACAATTGCACACGCATTCACAGGCGCACAACACCGTAGTCTGTCTTCCGGCCCCTGACCACATGCATGTATGCACTCACAGGTGCACATGCACATATGCACACACGGGCACACACCCACACATTGATAAAGGATGTATAGACCTTCCATACTTCAGGAGAAGTAGTCATTGTGTTCTGTTTCTGGGCAATGAAGTAGAAGGACAAATGGAATCGACGCTGATGCTCTGTGCATTCGTGTGTGTGAGAGAGTTCGTGTTTACACACAGTGCTCCACCATCTCTATCTAATGAGGCAGCTTTATGTTAACCTTAGACTGCAATTGGGTCCAATCTCAGGTCTACATTTGATATACCTAAGATGTCAAGTTTTATGCGCCAGGAAAATATACTGAGGTGAAAAAACACTGCCTAAACTCCCTAGGTAAGGTCTCTTCAAGTCCAGGTCATAGCCAATATTCCCTCCCACCCAACCCAAAATTCTCACAGGTGTACTTCCGACTATGGCCATGAGGTGGCAGCCAAACCATAGTCCCACATTTATTTCCTTTAAAAGGGCTGATGTTTTATGGAATAGCAATACAATTTAGTTTGTTTGGAAACTTGGCACACATACTAGAGCAGTTCCATTTATGGATTACCGCAAAGCTAGCGCTCCACAACCCACTTCATCCTCCCTGAGTGTAAAGTGGGCAGTGCACACTGGATAGAGTGGTGCTCTGTA